GCATTTCTAACAAGTTGCTGATGCCGCTGTTCAGAAGGACACATCTTGAGAACCACTAATATAACAAATCAACAACAGTACTGTCTCTGGCCCTGGCAATAAAGGGGACATTCTTATCTCAAATAGCCTCAAAAAATAAAAGTAAACAAATTAGTAGATGGAAAAGTAGTAACTGATGGCATCAAGCCATGATAACATGGTATATTCATCTAGTTTATGGTGTTTTAATTGCTTAGAGAACTGAGTAATTCCTTTGGTTTACAGCTCAGATATCTTATAATCAGTGACCCAATTCTTGACCTATGGAAAATAGCGACTCCATCCCATCTCCCCAAAGAAAGGTCCAGCTAGATGACCCTGCAGTGAACACCATGAGCTGAGCTTCTAATCAGCTCTGGAGTTCTCCTGTCTTAAATATGAACAGACAAATAAATATAATCCGACATTTGATAAAAATATCTAACATAAAATATAGGCACCACAACAAATCAAGTTCAAATAGAAAGATTAAATTCAGCTTTAATGGTAATACGTAATCAAATTAAACAATTTACTTTGCAGCATATTCTTTTTTAACCAGATTCCCTACAGCATGGCTTATTTCAAAATGGATTGGCATGTTTAATCTGTTATTGGAATCTAAACAAATGCTGGGTAATGCTCAAGAATGTTGCTTTTAGAAATATTTTCTTCGAGGTAAGTTAGCCAAAATTTCAGTTTTCCTGGCAAAGTTATCAAGTTGCTTAAATGTTGGTATGCCTAACTACGTGTATCAGAAGAAAGTTCATTTTCTAACAAAATGTACCTAAAGCCACCTTTTAACTCTCATTCCAATAACTTTCTTCTCCCTTAAATGTTGCCACTCTTGTTTTTCAAGACCTCTTCTTTATTCTCCTCTCCTGTCAAAAAGCCTCTTGGACTGAGTTCTATCTAGGTAACCCATCGGCTCTTAAAACATAATGCAAGGGTAGATCACTGGGAAAAGATGGCAGATGGAACACATGCATGTAATTTCACTAACTTTGAAAACCTTAGTAAAACTACATAAAAGTTTTTGTTTTGTTTTTGAAGACAAAAGCTAGAGGTATACTAGACACACATTCCAGTTGGATGCCAAGTGTTAAAATCAGTATTCAGCTGACACCAAATGTCACCATTATATGATGAACTTCTAGGAGATTAGAACAAATGTGAAATTTAATCAAATTTTAAAAATCTTATTGCCATCTTATTATTAAATTTTTGAGAAATAAGTTCTTAGCACTGAGGGCTGCTAGACTGATCCTGCGGTCACTATACTTCATATCTGTAATACTATATAGATGCCCACTTTCAAATGAAGTCATTAAACAATCAAGAATGTTTTGGGCTACTTTTGCCAGTCTAGATACTGCTGAGAATGACGGTGTTATAAAATTATTAGGCTTTTTTTCCTAAATGTTATATTAGGAAATAAATATAATTGATAAAGGATTTATATCCTCTTTAATTCCCAGGTTTGACATTTTGGTTAATAGTGATGATGCAATTTCATTGAAATAATTGCATAAACTGAAATTTTGTATATTGCTTGATGATGATGCTTTCTAAATATTTTCAGATGAGTCAAAGGGTGTTGTCCTAACACATTTTTAAATTTTAATGTTTTTACACATACTTGCTGCTTCACATGATCACTTGAGAAAAATTTGCATTTAAACCTTGGATCTAAAAGTGTAACAATGGCGCCATGTGACTGGCTTCCAAGACACCAAAAAGTAGTGGATTTCCATTTATATCTCAGTTTTTATTGCATTCACGCTAATTTCAGTATCTTCTCAAGAGTAGAATGATAGGACAGATATCATGTAAGAGATACTTGTATACTTCAAGGTACAGCCATTTGGTTACTTAAGAAGGTTCCAATAAAAGAACTGCTTTCTCTGTAGGCAACCACTGGTTTATTAGTAAGTCCTGTGACTGATACCTTCAGAGTATAATATTACGGCTATTTTGTTCAAGCAACGCTTCTTAATATATAACTTTTCCATCCTGTTTTAATATCTCGCAGAAGTACATCACAAGGAAGCTTCTAAATCTCTTCTATGTCATATAATTTTCCTTAGGCCAAGAGCAGTTTTCACTCCTGGAATCTAGAATAGGTAGTTCTCTAACTCTGTAAGAGGGACTTCAGCTCTGAGACCCATGGCTTAGAAAGCTCCACTTTGGCCCTCCTTTAGCTATGACCCATTCCTTAGGATAAAGAGTGCATAAGGCCCAAGCAGTGTGCCCACTCGAAGCCTGTGTCTCATCCCCTTCTAGGCCACACTCCAGAACCTGGGATCATAAAGCTCCCTGACTAAATGGCCTAGAGCCCAATGGCCTCCTCCTGAAGCCAATCTTCCTGAAGGCAAACCACGCCACCACTGGTGCATGCCCAAGCCAAGGAGCGCTCAAGGGCTGGCTGTTGGTTGGGGGTATAGATGAACGTGAGGTGTGAGGTATGTGTGAGGTCTTTCAAAGTGCAGGACATAGGGCCAAGGGTGGAGAAGGAAGGGGGCAGGCGTCAGACCAGGGGCTGGCTCTCTCCATATCACTATGTTCCAAAATAGAACCCAAGAAGTCCAAGAATTCTAAATTTGATCTTGGACTTCCAGATCATCAAAGGATATACTGTATTTGCCAAGACAGAAAGATAGAGATTTAAAAAAAAAAAAAATTTATTTATTTTGGGCTGCACTGGGTCTCTGTTGCTGCGTGCAGGCTTTCTCCCTAGTTGTGGCGAGCGGGGGCTACTCTTCGTTGCAGTGCACGGGCTTCTCATTGTGGTGGCTTCTCTTTGTTACGGAGCACAGGCTCTAGGTGCACGGGCTTCAGTAGTTGTGGCATGGGGGCTCAGTAGTTGTGGCTCACAGGCTCTAGAGCTCAGGCTCAGTAGATGTGGCGCATGGGCTTAGTTTCTCTGCGGCATGTGGGATCTTCCAGGCTAGGGCTCAAACCTGTGTCCCCTGCATTGGCAGGTGGATTCCTAACCACTGCGCCACCAGGAAAAGAAAGTCCCTAGAAGTTTTTTTTAATTTGTAAGCTTGTTGTTTAATTTTAAACTACATAGACATACCGTTACATGGACCTCTGTTTACTACATAGACATACAGTTACACAGGCTCAACTGTGAAAGTGAATCTGTACAGAACGCTTATAAACATTTGACATTATTACACTGACACCATTACACTGATTAGATACAATGTAACCCGGAATGGTCTTTTCCAAGATTTTGATATGGCTGACTCACTTTTATTTTTCAGGCTCCAGCTTACACACCACCTCTCAGAGAAGTCTTCCCTAACCACCTAATATAAAATAGCTCTCAGGATTCACCCTTCATCACTCAACTGTTCAAAGCCTCAGTTCCTCCTCTGTAAAACAGGAATAGTGTTTATCTCATAGGGTTGTTAAGAGACATCCTTGTTAAGCAGTAAGCACAGTGCTGGCACATTATGAGAGCTCACTAACACCCAATACTTCATTATTGCCTGGGCAGAGTATGGCTATATGACCTTTTATATGTAAGGAAAGGGCTTAGAAATTTCCATAGGGCATATGTAGCATTTTCTCTTAATTGAGCAAGCCAATAATAATGTTAATAAAACATTATTTAATGCATTTCCTTTCCAAGCATCTGCTTCACTCAAGAAACCTTAGGGAACTCACAGCTGCCTGGGGAAAAATGGGGAGAGGGGAAGAGGAGTGAAAGAGAGCTCCCATCAACAACGTGGCTCTTCAGCTTCCACATCTTGGTTACCTTTAGATACACAAATGTTTTTTCCTAGTTCATAGATTCATTTGTTGTACCTTCTTTAAGGAAAGAAACAAACTTCATATACTAACAGCACTGCAATTAGTAATGATGGCTTAGTTAATTTTTGGCTAACGTTCCGTGGGCTGATGGCTCATTGAAGTGAACCTCACTAGCTACATGGTTTTAATGATAACTTGGTTCCACAATGGTGAACCCCCAAAGAATGTTATAGTGAGAAAACAATATCCTTTTCGGCTACTAAAAAACCTCAGAACCCTGCTGGTGGCAGTATTATCAAAAGTGTTTAACATTTATGGATGACAATTCTGCAATATGTGGCTAAAGCCTTAAAAGTATACTTTTTTTTTTCCCTGTAATTACAATCCTAGAATTTGCCCAAAAGAAATAAGAAAAGAATGTAAAACTGTATGTATAAGAATATTCATTACAACATTGTTTATAACAGCAAAACATTAAAAAGAACCTATATATTCAATAACAGATGATGGATTAAACCGTGGTAGAACTATACAACAGAAAAACACACAGCCAATAAAAATAATGAGATAGGTCTACATTTATTGATATGGAAAGATGATCATGATGTATCTACAAATGGATATCACAGATTATACAAGAGAATATATATGATTGCAGTTCTTTTTTTTAGAATATACAGTATGTATCTACATTATGATATACCTATGAATAGGTAGAGATATCCAAGTATACAAGGATCTATATCAAAATATTAATAGTGATTATGTCTAGGTAAATAATTGGGGGTAGTTTTAAATTTTCTTCTTGATACTTTTTTCCCTTTCCTGCAGTTTGTATAATAAACAACTTTACTTTTACAATCACAAAAAGTTTAAATAACAATTTACCAACCATCGAACCATAAAGAATCTCAATATCTGACTTGCCCCATGTTTTAAGCACTGATGATAATTGCTAGAACGCCCTGGAATGAAAGGGGGCAAGAATGCTACTTCTCAGGATAAAGGAAAGCCTATAATCCCCAGATTAGACAACCCAGGGAGCTTTCAGGGCATGATTAACAGGCATAACTACTTAGCATAGTCCCGAGGTTCAGAAATTTACCAGTAGACAGAGGAGAAAATTATTTTCCTGGTGCAAGTCCTCCTCAATAGAGAGAAACAGTATATGTTTATGTATAGATAAAACAGTATATGTTTATGTATAGGAAAAAACTTACTGCGGTGGATAATCTGGATGCCAATGTCATTTCCAAGTTCCCTTTGAGACCAAGAAGTGCAGGAACTAAAATGAAAACTTCTGTTACTTTTTTGAACACCTCCCAGTGCTGTAAGAAAACAAAAAAATAGAATTTTCTGACACCCTTTAAAAAACACTTTAGAATAAAGATTTCTAAAAATCTCAGCCTTTTTTCCGATGTTGCATCTACATTTTGAATAACTACACAGGTCATTTAATCAGTGAACATTTAGCTTAAGCCATTCTCCAGAGTTCTAAAACCTTGAGTTACTTTAGAAATTCAGTTAGAGTTGGAAGTAATAGCTGATACACTCACTATATCTCATAGTACATCTAGCTTGCTACACAACTCTGTTACTCTTAAAGTCTACTGTATCTCTTTATGATGGCAAGAGTCAGTGTAACTAGTGGTTAAAAACACAGATTCAAGAACCAGATAACCTGTATTTGAATCTTGGTTCCAACACTATTAACAACCAACCCACAGGAAAATTACAGTAATATTATTAGCTCGTTTCACAAATGAAGAAATAAGCATTCAGAGAAGTTAAAATGATTTTCCCAAGATCAAAAAATGGGACCTAGAATTGACCCCAGGAGTTCTGAGTCATCCCATGTTCTGCTCCCCATTTTAGGATGTGAGGCAAGAGGCTGCAGAGCACAGGATCATAAAAGAGCACTAAATTGGAAATAAGAAAATTTCTTATTCTAGGCATGGATCTGTCATAACCTGGTTGTGTGATCCTGGATGAGTTACGTACCATTCTGATCTCAGTTTCTTCATCCATGAAATGAAGATACTACCTGCCCTGTCTAGCCTATGAGGAAATACCATAATAATGAAAACAATAGATATTAAAGTACTTTATAAACTGAAAAGACCATACAAATGACTGAATAACACAAAATGCTGTTTTACAAGTGTTATTAAGAGGTGATTGTCCCAAAGAAGACTTCAGGGACTAGGCATATTAATTTATGCCAAAAAAATATCAAGAATACAGTCTTGTCACTAACACCAAGAAAGGTGAGAAAAGTAAGACAAATCCATTGGATAAATGAAAGAAAATTTCAGTTTGTCCCCAGAGTTTCCCTAGAGGCTGTTCCAAATAGGTGCAGAACTAGGGTCTAAAGAAGCTTTAGGAAATGTTTATCAGACCAGTCTTCGGTAAAAACCTGGTTTAACAGTTTTACAAGGGAATCCCTCCAGGGTTCAAGTCAATTAAGGATGGGCCTAAAAACAGCACTCGGGGTCCAGTAGCCTCTCAGATTCCTTAACATGTCAAAAAACTAACAAACAATTCTGTCCATGTTTTATGATAGGTAAGAATTCTGCTGTGCTACTGGAATATGCATCCTCCAGAGATGATGGTGATGATGACAATGATGAAAAACAACAGATAATAATAATAATAAATATTAACAACAGTCAACATTCACTGATTGCTTGTTAGTGCCAGGCACTGTTCTAGGCTTAATCATTTAATCTTCACAACAAACTTACGAGATAGGTATTGTTTTTATCACATTAGACATAATTTGGGATTACCTAGGTCACAATATTAAGACACCTACCTACACAATTTTAGAAACACCAGAATATCCAAATTTCTCTATCTAATATCTCCATCCCACTTTGGATCTGTTTGGATGCATTCCTTTGGGTTACTACCATCCTTTCCAAGTTCAATTCAAATCAAATGCTGCTGTGAGAATTACTATGAAAACACTTACACCTTAGCATTGATATAACAATAAGAACTATCACATACTGATTTCCAACCTCATGCCCAAAAAATTTTGCATTCTTCTCTCTACACCTGCAGAGATGGGCTTTCAGAAGTTCTCAAACTTTCTCAGCTCACAGCACCTGTAGTATCTCAGAAATGTTTTCATGACAACCCTAGGCCAAAAGAAAGATCTAACAGTCCTACTAAGTAGCTAGGTCCAAACAATTTAATAAGTATTTATTTCCTAACAATTTGGTAGCCATTTGAAGAAATAACACAAATAAATTGAAAGAATAAATCATATTTTTAAGTCATGTAACCACAAGTACTTACTAACAGGATGTGTGTATCTGTTGGGCACTGCACAGCATCTCAAACCTTGGAATTTGGAAACTACTGCCTTCATTTCTTGTTCTGTATTGATTTTTGTGTGACACTTGCTTTTTTTCCCAGCACCGCTGAAAATGTAGCTTTGCAGATGTATGTCAGATGGAGTGTGATCTAATGCTGATATGTTGAACCACCTCGAGTCAGTGGTCTGTAGAGTGTCCAAAAGATGTCACTGTGTTTCCCTCAAAAATTTAACATATCCCACAGCAACCCTGGGGTGTCCAGACACACAGTTTGGGAAATAAGAGAATAGTGAGAAACAGTACAGCATGTTAGTTAAAGAAAAGGGCTCTGGAATCAGATTATCTGAGTTGCAATTCTGATACTACTACTTTTACTGTATGACTTGAGCAAAACTATGCTTTACTTTATTCATCTAAAATAGGGTCATAAGTGTACCTACCTCATACAGTTGTGCTCAGGACCATGCCTGTACATAGTAATAAAAAACAATATTGAGGGTTTATTAGCTATAACACCAAGATATATTATCAGTTAATTTTCCTGTCAGGAAGAGGTAATGCCAAAAAAAAAAAAAAAAAAAGTCCAGAAAGGGGATGCTGAGGCAGCCAGTGCCCCAAATAAATTTCACCTACTTATAAATTTTGCCACAATACAGACATGTCCTCTGAGGCTATGTAGATTATTATGCACTGCTAAACTTCTCCACAAGAATCCTCCCTACAGGAAATCAACTTCTAATCTTACCTAATTTTAGATGTCTGTCAATATCCAGAATCTTACGTAAGCACCCATACCTCAAACATAATGTCAGATTGCTTACATATGTCCTATACTCGAAACCTAAAAATCTATTAATGTCCAAAAGGACAAACAAAAATGAAACTTAAATAAAATTAAATTTTAAAAACAGAATAAACAAGTTGAGGAATACATCCACAGAGTCCTAACGTAAAAATAAACAGAAAAAGTTTAAAAATAACTAATTGGTAAAAGAAGCTTATGCAATTTTTAAAAAACTTATATACCCCAGAGCTGGAGAAGATTTGTTTCTCATTTTAACTTAGTTTTAAAAAACTAAACCCATTCACTTTTAGACGTATGACCCAGTGCCCAACCTCACTCATAATTTTAAAAATGCAAATTAAAAGGTGATCAGTTTTCTTCTGTGAGATTGGTAAAGTTCAAAAAGTTGGATAATACTGTCGGTAAGAGTATAAGGAAATAAGCACTCCATTACACTATTGATTTAACTTCTTTGGGGGAATTCAGCAATATCTATCAAATGTAAAATGCACATAATTTTCAACTCAAAACTCTACTTCAAGGAATTTATCCTACAAATAAAGTTGAACGTGAGTTCAAACACATACATATAATGAGTCAACTTCATCACTGTTCATAATCACAAAAGATTTGAGGTACTTTAAATCTCCTTCATTAGGTCACTTGGTAGAAAAACAATGATACATCTTTGCAATAGAACATAACAATAGAGCTCTCCAGAGAAGAATTCGGTAAATCTGTGTGTATCTATAAGGAAGCTCCAAGATAAATTAAGAGCAGGGTGAAGAGCAGCATTATAGGATGTTTTTTGCTTGTGTTTTTTAGTGAACACACACACACACACACACACACACACACACACATATGAATGTACATGCATTTAATGTCAGTGGAAGGAGACAGAAAAAAATAATACCAGTAAATTCTAAAGAAGGGCACATAGAAAAAGAGACTTCTGGGAGCTTCAAGATGGCGTAAGAGTAAGACGCGGAGATCACCTTCCTTTCCAAAAATACATCAGAAATACAGCTACATGTGGAACAGCTCCTACAGAACACCTACTGAACGCTGGCAGAAGTCCTCACCCTTCCCAAAAGGCAAGAAACTCCCCACGTACCTGGGTAGGGCAAAAGAAAAAAGAAAAAACAGAGACAAAACAATAGGGACGGGACCTGCACCAGTGGGAGGGAGCTGTGAAGGAGGAAAGGTCTCCACACACTAGGAAGCCCCTTCGCGGGCAGAGATTGCGGGAGGCGGAGCGGGGAGCTTCGGAGCCGCGGAGGACAGCACAGCAACAGGCGTGCGGAGGGCAAAGCGGGGAGATTCCCGCACAGAGGATCGGTGCCGACCGGCACTCACCAGCCCGAGAGGCTTGTCTGCCCACCCACTGGGGCGGGCGGGGCTGGGAGCTGAGGCTCGGGCTTTGGTCGGAGCGCAGGGAGAGGACTGGGATTGGCGGCATGAACACAGACTGAAGGGGGTTAGTGCGCCACGGCTGGCCAGGAGGGAGGCCAGGGAAAAGTCTGGACCTGCCGAAGAAGCAAGAGACTTTTTCTTCTCTCTTTGTTTCCCGGTGCGCGAGAAGAGGGGACTAACAGTGCCACTTCAAGGAGCTCCAGAGACGGGCACGAGCCGCGGGAATCAGCGTGGACACCAGAGACAGGCATGGGTCACTAAGGCTGCTGCTGCAGCCACCAAGAATACCTGTGTGGGAGCACAGGTCACTATCCATACCTCCCCTCCCAGGAGCCTATGCAGCCCGCCACTGCCAGGGTCCCGTGATCCAGGGACAACTTCCCCGGGAGAACGCACGGCATGCCTCACGCTGGTGCAACATCATGGTGGCCTCTGCCGCCGCAGGCTCACCCCACATCCGTACCCCTCCCTCCCCCCGGCCTGACTGAGCCAGAGCCCCCGAATCAGCTTCTCCTTTAATCCCGTCCTGTCTGAGCGAAGAACGGACGCCCTCAGGCAACCTACACGCAGAGGTGGGGCCAAATCCAAAGCTGAACCCCGGGAGCTGTGCGAACAAAGAGAAAGGGAAATTTCTCCCAGTAGGCTCAGGAGCAGCGGATTAAATATCCACAATCAACTCGATGTCCCCTGCATCTGTGGAATACCTGAATAGACAACGAATCATCCCAAATTGAGGAGGTGGACTTTGGGAGCAAAGATAAATATATTTTTCCCCTTTTTCTCTTTTTGTGAGTGTGTATGTGTA